TATAAAATTGACATAAAAATAACGTAAAACATAGAGACAAAACTATCACAGACCAAATATATATATATATATATATATATATATATATTACAACCTTTATGTATTTTACACGTTTTTATTTGATCCATATGCTTTAATGTATTTAAACTTAAACAGATAAATTGATTGATATATAATAGTTGAAAAAATGACTCCATTTAAAATTATTATGTACTAAAATAATATTTGTGTAAGAATTATACTAAAACTCATATCAGATATAAAGATTAAAAATATAGTATAAACATGAAATTCAAGTAAAATTAAAAAAGAATATTCAAGAGAAAAATATTGTTTTTGGCAATTTCCATAATAAGATTTGGCTCTCTAACAGAGCCTCATTGTTTTTACAAACTTACCGATTAATTTTCAATCCAAGACTCCATCACACATAAAGGTCTTTACCTTTATTTATTTATTTTTTCATTTTTTATTCTTTTACCAAGGATATGTTCTACAAGAATCAAACTTGAATCCTCTCCAAAGACTTGGTATGTGTGTTGTTAACCGACCACCCAACAAGTTAGAAAAATTAAAAACATATAAGATTATAAGATTACACATAATTAATTTTTATAAATCGAATTTAAATATTAAGTTATTTAAAATTTTATAAATAAAATAGGAGTAACTAACTTTAAAAATGAGGAACGATATGCATTTGTTTTTTTTTTTTTAAATAACTAAAAATTTAAAAATAAGGGTGAATTTGTCAAGTGTCAACAATGGCTTCAGTTTGGAATGAACAACAGGAAATAAGTTTCATCGCTTTTGCCACCTTTGTAATGTCGTCGATCGTCACACTAATTAAAAGAAACTTGTTCAAAATGGCTAATAATTTATTCGATAATTTGAAGTCTGTGTTACAGCTCGAGCACCTAGAATTCCACACAAGACAACAAAATTTCGTAGCATCATAGTCTTTCTTTTGTTGCCCATATATCATAGCTTTTCGTTTATTATTAATGCCATTTGCGAAAATGAAAATTGAGGTTTCCGTTGTAAACGTTGCCATCTTCACTCAAAAGATTCTCCAACCTAGTGCTGAACTCAATAATGCAGTTTCTGACGATCACAAATTTCTCATACTAGTATATATATATTACTACTACTGCATAATACAACATACCAATGCGTACTTAACAGTTAACACACTAAACTATGCTATAATCTCTAATCTCTAATATAAAATAATTTGAATGGATCATTGGCTGGTTTTTCACAACATTAGAGGAAATTAATACATATATAACTTAAACAAAATCTAACATCATCCTCTTCGTCATCATCAATATGATCATCACCACTTCCGAGAAGATATGCACAGAATATAAAGAAACTTTTAACATGTACTGTCAAAACAAGAAATGTTTCATTTCATCGAAAAACGCAGAACCCCAGAAAATGTCATCAATTTTTTTTTTGAATCTTTGCGCGACACCACCAACATACCCTTTCTCCATCATATCATCACACATCTCTTTTTACCTCTAGTCAGTCATCATCAGTTGCAGTGATAGTCAGTAGTAGTAGTACTGGTACATGGCCTTCTCTTCTGTCTTGTTTTCATCATCAACATTATTGAACCTAATCAATTGCTTAATTTCCTCCAGATCACAATCCAACGGTGTGAGCGTTTCGCTAAAGCACCCTCCATCATTCATGTTGCTGTAACAACTAAGCATCAAGTTGTTACTATCATTGTAGCTTTGGTAACCCATTTCTTCTTGCTTGATTTCTCTTCCCTGAGAGCAGCTTCCATCAGAGGAACTGCAACTTCCCTCGCTTCCAAACATGAGCATGCTGTCTCTGATGGGGTAATAGCATTGTTGCATGGGACTAATAGCACTGGCCATGGAGTCTTGGCTTTGGTGAAAGGGGTGAGAAATCGAGGTTGTTGTGGTTGCATAGTTACTTGAAGGAAGGGAGAGAGGTTCAGTTGTAACTGGGAAAGATGTGGTTGTCATAGGAGTGTAGGTGCAGTACTCTCCGTACAGTTGGTGAGATGAAGGAGAGGGTGGAGGGTTTTGAAGGATTGAGGATGGAAATGAAGCTTGTTTTCTGTGATGAGAAAGAGGAAGCAACGACATGAGTTTTTTCTTCAACTTTGTGTTCCAATAGTTCTTGATATCATTGTCAGTTCTTCCTGGTAACTGAGCAGCTATAATTGACCACCTGTTAATTAACATATGAAACCTAATTAAAACTTTTTTCTTTTTGGGTCTTTTTACAGCCATAATAATACAATTTTAATATAAGATTTCATGTAAATTACTTAAATCCATGTGACTACAATCTATTTAGAGACTAGTTAAAAGTACTTTTAATAATTTTTCTATGGAAAATGAAGAATTATTATTAATAAAAAGCTTTCAAAAATAATTTTAAATATGTATCTACATATATTCGTCACACTCGTCATGTAAGTGGGTTAATTAAGCTAGTTAAGTTTCCACCAACGAAAATTATTACTCAATATCTTAATCAGACATAGTGGATGCTGGTGTTGGATCCAAATTTGGCATGCATGGGAAAAGGCTATCCAAGTATAGGCGGATTCTGAGCAAGAATCAAGTTTTTCATTTTAAAAAAGGGAAAAAATAAAAATACTAGTTATTGCTCTTTTTCTTTCCTTTCTTTCTATTTTACCTCTTTTAGCTAGACTGATAGAGACTTTATCAGTGTTTCACCGGAGCAAGTGGTTGATGGCGATAAAAGGGAAAAGAGAAGAGTGGAAAAAGATGTCATATAAATATATTCTGGATATAGGTTATTGATTTCAAATTAGATTGGTCAGAAAATGCTCTAAAAATAATTGTTCAGAACTATTGATAGTGTGCTTGCATTAAATGGAAGTAACTATTGTACCTGCTTCCAATATTAACATAGAGGCTGCAAATTATTCTGTCTTCCTCATCGGAGAAATCTCCATGCTTAATGTTAGGCCTGAGATAGTTGAGCCATCTCAATCTGCAACTTTTCCCACATCTCTTAAGACCTGGTCATAAAGTTTTGGAACCAAATTAGAGCTTATTAGCAAAAGGTTATATCACAAAAAGACATTCAAGCATTTTTTTCTTCTTCATAAAATCATAACATAAACTTATACCAGCTTTTTGAGGAAGAGCAATCCAATTCCCTCCAGTTCCATGCTTCTCTATGTACTCCTTGAGCTTTGTGTCTTCTTCCGGTGACCATGGTCCTTTCTTAACACTAGCCTTGTCACAACATGGAGCTCTTCCCATCTCTGATCTCTCTCTGAGGATCCAAACTCTCACTTTCTAATCTGAATGAAGTTTTGATGGGTAGTGCTTGTGCCTTAAATATAAGAGACACGGTTTTTGGAAAGTTAAAAAAATGTTATTTTATCATTTACACAAAGAGAGGGAGGCATGTACACAAGTCAAATGAAAACATTGAAAGAAAATTATATAATATAGTAGTAGTACAATTTAGTTTAAATTTCCACGCACTGTTAGTAATTAATTATTAATATTTAAGAAGGGTACTTAGAGTCAGAGAGAGGTTTCTAATGTTCAACCTTGAAGACTTGGCCAAGGCCAAGACATACGAAGCCACACTCATTCTCTTCTATAAAGAGGAAGCATCCAATGTTTTCCATACAGAAAGAAAGACAACACAAGTGATGGGTACAGCTACCAGAATTGTGACACTTTCCAAACACTAGGACCAAAATCACCATATTGGCCTAGTTTTCTTCTGCTTGCTTTATTATTTAATTAATTAAATTAATGAATTATTATTACTATTGTCTGGTAATAAGTGCATATTATGCATTGACATTTTGCAAAAAGTAAAAGGACAAGTGCATTTAGCCAAAGACATGCAAAGAAATTGAAAACAATTACTACATTAAAATATTAAATCTCGTTCACTAAATCCATAACTAAGATGCGGTGGATATAGAGGGCGCACCTGAATTAATGGGATTCAATTATATCAACTTAAGTTGGTTGAATAAAAAGCATTTGGGTCCTTCAAAACACATGTTACTTTGAGTTTGATTTTAAGATTTGTGTTTAAAAAAGATACTGATAAAAACAATCCTCACTTTAGCGTCTAATTACATTATGAAAAAATTAGTCTCTAGACTATTGAGTGCATGGAAGGATACTCTAAAAAAACTGCAAAAAATATATCCCACTGACTTAATTTAGACCAGTTTTCGTTTTTGGCATCTTACACTCAAAATTATTTGTTAAGTTGTTATATATAAAAGAGATTCTTGTGTGTATGGTTGGTAAACAATAAAATTTAAAATATTTCTCACAGCCTAGAGTATTATATATATATATATATATATCTTCATTTGGTTGCATCGACATCGTTGGCCTGTACATTGTTTCTAGTGAGTGTGTTGACTAGCATAGTCGTCCCGTAGCATCATCGAGGCATTAACATT